ATGTATGAGAGAGGATTATTTTAGCCTCATGGTTTTTCCACAGACATCCAATATAAAAAAAAATACCCTCCACCTGGTACCCATTTTAACCCCTTTTTGCCTTATTTTTTTTCTTCTCTAAAATACTCACTGGTGAGTGTCCTATGAGCTGTTCCACGTTCTCAGTCACAACCATGATCTTTCCTGAGCCCAGAACCACCAACAAGAACACGTCCTGAGGGGAGAGAAAAAGATGGGAGAGACACACAATCATTTTTAAGACTCTCAATAGTATTGAGAGACAGAGAGACAGAGGGGATAAAATAAGATATGGGGTTGTTTCTTTTATCACAAGCACTTACTTAGAAGCAGCAGCAGCAGCTGCTGCAGCACAGTACTGAGTTCTGGTAATAATTTTTCACACTCCCTCCCATTTCTGAAGAATTAGTTTCATCCTATATCATGTCATCAAAAGAAAAGGACTCAGCTCCAATAAAAAATCATTACAGTAAATAAAAAATTAGACAAGAAAATAATAATTCCATCAAAGAGACAAAAAAAACTTGAAAAACATGAAATATTAACACCTTTTCATTAAGGTTATCAATTAATTCCTTTTGTAGGTTTTGAATTTGTTTTAAAATTGAAAACATTATTCTTGAGGACCATAAAAGTGGTGCACATCAAATCCAAATATTTTTCACCATTCAGCTTTATTCTAAACTTCAAAAATACATATTTGAGAAATGAGCCATGAATTCTCCACCAAACTTTCATTAAACTAACCAATTACTACAGTTTTAAAGAACTTGAATTGGATTCAAAATGAAAAAAATTCACTCTTGAGAAAATACTGCTCTCAAAACCATATTATTCTGAAAACCAAACCAAGTCAAATATTTCAAAATTGAATCATGGTGATTTTTCTCCTGAAAAATTCACCACTTGCTCCCATGAATGCCCCAATAAAGTAATTTAATTTTCAGTCAATTTATGGAATGCAGAAATTGAAAAAAAAAATTATCCTTCACTAATGAAAATATTCTCTGCATGACTATTATTCAAATGAGACAAAGGAATGGGCCACTTTTCTCTAAAAGCCAGGACATCTAATTTTCTGTCCAAAACAAGCTAAGAAAACTACTCTACTTACAATTTATCGCTATGGATCCTCTCATGGTAAACTTTGATTTCTTATCTCTTATACAATTGAATACTTTTCTTAAATCATTTTTGACAATAGATTTGCAATTATTTGTACTGTACTTCACATTCAGGGAGGCCTGATAATACATTTTATCTGACATAAAATCACCCATGAATCATCAACTATTTTAGTTAATACACCAATAGGAACAGAATGATGGACAAGAGCAATGATCAACTGTTTCCACAAAACAAAATATTGTTTCTACCATAATCTGCAAATTATCACATACCACAGACTCTGATACAAAAAATAATAATTCATTTCCAAGGAGGAAAAAAAAAAACCCCCAGACAACAACAAAAGTCTCTTAATATCTCCCTCAAAAGCAAACTGGACATCTT